CAGAGGCTCCTTTCGCTATCTTCATATTTTTGGATTCTTTTTTCGTTTTTCTTTTCCGGTTGGGTGTTTTTTGCTTCTTCATATTTCAAATCTTTGACTTGATTCTGGTGATCCTCTCATCTGCTATTGGATCTCTGTATATTATTCTTTATTTCAGTCAGTGTATGTTGAATTTCTGACTGGTCCTTTTCCATTTTTTTGGCATTCTCATTTAGATCCTTGAAGGTCTCACTAAGTTCCTCGGAGGTTTGTAGAAGATTCTTGAGTAACCTTATAACTGTGGTTTTGAACTCTATATCCAGTAGTTTGCTTGGTTCCATTTCTTTCATTTGTGACATGTTTCCTTATCCCTGCATTTTGGCTGCTTCCCTGTGTTAATAAAGTGGCTTTGTGTGCTAGGTGTCCTATAGGGCCCAGTGGCTCAGCCTCCCCAATCACCTGAGGTGGACACTCTTGATGCACCCCTTTGTGGGCTTGTAGTTAAGCCTTGACTGCTCTTGGTATCTCTGGGAGGAAATGACCTCCAGGCCAATTGACTGCGAGGACCCGCTGTGTCTATAGTGGAAGAACTGCTGTGCTGGAGACACCCTTATGGGGCAGGACTTGCTTCAGTGGAGCTTTGGTGCTCACTGAGTCTGCCTCTTGAGTGTGTCATTTATGGATGTGAGGAGTTGGAATCTAGTATCTGACCACTGGGTACACTGGCTCTTGGATCTCCAAGGAGGTGCAAAGTCAGCTCACCTTGCAGGAGCTACAGTGAGATCTGCAGATTTCTCCTCTTTGTTTGGGGTTTGGAAGTTTTGGAGCTCTCTGACCCAGCTGCAGTTTGTTAGGTTAGGCTGCAAAAGGACAGGCGATTCATTTGCACCGCTACGCACAGCTTTGGTGGGGTTGTACGTTGGGTGGGGCGGGGTCTCAGAGAATCACCAGGGCAGAGCAAACAGCAATGGCTGTCCATCAGCCCTCTCCGCATCTCCGGGTCTCCGCGTCCTCGAGTCCCGCACCCGCACAGTAACAATGATCCCTGCGAGCAGCTCTGCGATAAAGCCACCCTTGCTTTCTGACCCACTGCCAGACAGTCCAATTTCTCCCTGTAGGAGTCTGGGTCCCCAGAGTCTCGCCGGAAATGGGTTCAGTGCAGTCAGGGAACTTGTATCTCCCTTCCAATTGAAAAAAACCGCACACCCAGTTACAGCCCGTTTCGTGTGCCTCCATACCTCTTCTCTTGGATCCTCCGCACCTCCTACCCAGTCTAAATGCACTTTTTTCTTTCCTTCTAGCTGTAGAACTTCCACCCAGCCAGCTTTCCTGTTGTTCTGGATGATAGCTGTTTTGTATTTTAGTTGTAGTTTTGATGTGGTTGTGTAGGGTGGCATGTACAGGTATATACCTTATGCCAACATCTTCTAAAGCTGTAAAGTGTTTCTTAAGTATGTAGTTGAGTCTTGTTTTTCTCTCCAAGGTGACAGTCTGTTATTTAATTAAGATGTTTAAGCTATTTATTTTTAATTATTAAATGATTCAGTTTAAATCTATCACCTTGCTATTTGTTTGCTATTTGTCTTACAATTTCTTAACCTTTTACTCTTTTTCTGCCATCTTTTGAATTATTTTATATTGTTTTATCTCTTATTAGCTATACCAATTTGTTAGATTTTAGTGGTTGCCTTATGGTTTATAGTGTTCATCTGGAACTTAATAGAGATTACTTCAAGTAGATTATACCACTTTATCCTATATAATAAAAGGCTAATATGCAAATCGACCGAACCACGGAACAACTGGTCACTATGAAGCACACTGACCACCAGCGGGCAGACACTCAATGCAGGAGCTTCCCCCTGGTGGTTAGTTTGCTCCCACAGAGGGAATGCCACTGAGCCAGAAGCCGGGCTCACAGCTGGCGAGCCCAGCAGCAGTGGTGGGAGCCTCTCCTGCGTCTGTGGCAGCACTAAGGATGTCTGACTGACACTTAGGCGGGGAGTGATCCTAAGCCATCAGTCGGACATTCCCCAAGGGCTCCCGGACTGCGAGAGGGCGCAGGCCAGGCTGAAGGACCCCCATCCTGGAGTGCACAAATGTGGTGCACTGGGCCTCTAGTATATTATATAAGAATCTTACGATGGCACTCTTTATTTGTCTCCCCTTTTCTCCTTTGTGCTGTTTTTGTCATACATTTTCATTCTACATGTGTTATAATACATTGTTGTTATTTTTGTTTGAAAATAGTTATCTTTTTAGGTCAGTGAACAGTGGCCCACAGCCCAGTTGTCTATTTTTATAAATAAAAGTTTTGTAGAAACACAACTATGTTAATTTGTTTATATCATTTTTTACTACTTTCATGCTGCAACAGCACAGTTGAGTAATTGTCACAGAAACTGCATGGCCTGCAAGCCTATAATATTTATTATCTGACCATGTTAGTGTTTATCAACCCATTTTAAAGAAATGAAAAACTTAGAGAATTTGTTTCTAATATTCAGCCACATGTTTATCATTCTGGTGTTCTTCACTTCTTCATATATATCGCAATTCTGTCCAAAAGGTATAACTTTCCTTATGCCTGAAGAACTTCCTTTAATACATCTTTTGACACAGGCTACGGGCATTGAATTCTCTTGTGTTTCATTTGTCTGAAAACAACTTTAACCTGCCTTTCTTTTTGAAGGATACTTTTGCTGGGTATAGAGCTTTAAGATGTGTGTTTGTGCATTTTTTCCTTGTTTGTATTTATGATATATTGAACTTCTTTTTTATATATATTTTATTGATTTTTTACAGAGAGGAAGGGAGAGGGATAGAGAGTTAGAAGCATCGATGAGCGAGAAACATCGATCAGCTGCCTCCTGCACAACTCCTACTGGGGATGTGCCTACAACCAAGGTACATGCCCTTGACTGGAATTGAACCCGGGACCCTTTGGTCCGCAGGCTGACGCTCTATCCACTGAGCCAGACTGGTCAGGGCTATTGAACTTCTTTGATGTATGGAGTTTTTATAGTTTTCTTCAGGTTTGTCATAATTTTGGTGATTATTTTCCTTAATATTTTGTATATAAACCTCCCTTTCTTTTCTTTTCCCAAGAATCCAATTACACACATTAGACCACTGATAAAGTCCTAGAATTCAGTCATATTCTTTTTTTTTATATTCTGAGCTTATTTATAGATTGTTTACATTATTATGTCTTTCAATTCTCTCACCTGCAGTGTCTATCTAATCTGTTAATCGTATTTGGTGACATTCTCACTTTAGATACTGTATTTTTTTTATCTCCAGAAGTCCCATTTATTTTGTTGTTTTTATTTTTCATTTATTTCTACTTTATGTTCATGTTTTATTTTGTTTTTTAAATTTTATTGATTTTTTACAGAGAGGAAGGGAGAGAGAGAGAGAGAGTCAGAAACATCGATGAGAGAGAAACATCGATCAGCCGCCTCCTGCACATCCCCCACCAGGGATGTGCCCGCAACCCAGGTACATGCCCTTGACCGGAATCAAACCTGGGACCCTTCAGTCCGCAAGCCGACGCTCTATCCACTGAGCCAAACCGGTTTCGGCTATGTTCATGTTTTTGTTTAAGTTCTTAAGAATATTGCAGCTATTTTAATTTCATTGTTTGCTAATTTCACCATTTCTGTAATTTCTCGTTCTATTTCTATTGATTGGGTGGGGTTATTTTCTGTTTATGAGTAATGTTTTCCTGCTTTTTTTATGGGAAATAATCTTTTAATTGGATGTGAATTTGACATTTTTGAATGCTAAAATTTTTATATACATTTGAAGAGTTAAATTTTGTATGACAAGAAGTTATTTGTGGATCAATTTTATCCTTTTGTGGCTTGTTTTTCATCTTCTTTAGGACAAGTGTAGAATAGCCTGTCCTAACGATCCAGTTCAGTCCCAATATTAAGGTGGGAATCATCTGAGGACTACTGAGTGCCCATGTACTCAACATTTCTTACTGTAGCTGGTAGGAATATGAACAATTTATAGTGCTGCATAAAATCTGAGAATTACTAAGATTACAGCTCTCTATGCATTATTTTGTTCCTGTTAATCTTTGCAACTCAGTAAGACCTCTGCTTGGGATTCCCTTCCTGCACCATAGTTTAAAAATTGCTTCAGGCAGAGAACAGGGACTATTTAATAGGGCTTTTACCTCATTTGTTACTTACCTCCTTTTAGGGATCACAGTACTACATTGCTTACTGTCCAATGTCAGAAGACAGGTTTTTTTCACATATTTGTTCAGGTTTCTTTTTTATTATTTAAAGAAAAAATGGAAGTCATTAAATGTCATTGTCTTATTTTTTTTTTATCACCCCTCTCCCCTTTGGCAATCATCAGCTTGTTCTCTATATTTGTGGGTCTGGTTTTTTTGTTTGTTTGTTTATTTATTAATGTATTTATTTATTTGTTGTTGTTTTATATCACATATAAGTAAAATCATTTAGTATTTATCTTTTTAAAATATATATATATATTATTGATTTTTCACAGAGAGGAAGGGAGAGGGATAGAGAGTTAGAAACATCAATCAGCTGCCTCCTGCACACCCCCCTCCCACCGGGGATGTGCCTGCAACCAAGGTACATGCCTTTGACCAGAATCGAGCCTGTGATCCTTTAGTGTACAGGCTGACACTCTACCCACTGAGCCAAACCGGCTAGGGCAATATTTATCTTTCTTTGTCTATCTTATTGCACTTAGCATAACACCCTGTAGGTCCATCCATGTTGTCACAAATGGCAAGATTTTGTTCTTTTTTATTGCTGAATAATATTTCAGTGTGTGTGTGTATGTGTGTGTGTGTGTGTGTGTGTGTTTCCTAGAGGCCCGGTGCATGATATTTGTGCATGGATGTGGTCCCTAGGTTGATTGGAGGCTGGGCCGGCCAGGGGAGTGGGGCTGATGGGGGCCCAGATCAGGCTGGTTGGCTGCCGTAGTGCATGTTATAGCCAATGGTCGTTCTGGTCGTTCTGCCATTCTAGTCGCTAGGCTTTTATATATATTGATTATTGTATTATTTTTTATACGAACAACTTTAAACCTACTTTTGCCCTGTTCTATATATACTAAAATATTTACAAATGAATGTACTAGTATATCTTGTAAAAAAAATAAAAGAAAGTGGAGGGGGAGGGGAAGAGTAGGTGAGGCTATAGGTCAGGGGTTGGCAAGTTTGTTTTATAAAGGGCCAGGCCATAAATGTTTTATTTTCAGGCCATGTAGTCTCTATCATGTTAGTCAAGATTACTATTTATTTTTGCACTAAAGCAGCCTTAAAAATGATATGTAAATAAATGAGCCTGTGTTTTAATAAAATTATTCGCAGAAACAGACAGCAGCCAGATTTGACCTGTGGGCCTGACTGGGTGAAATAAGATTGGCCATGTGTTGGTAATTGTTAAAGCCAGGTAATGGGCACGGTAGTGTTTATTGCACTATCATCACGGCTGTCATTTATGTCTGAAATCTTCCATAATAAAAAGTTAAGACAAGTTTCTTTAAAAGATAGGTTAAAGAAAAGACTTTAACTTATTTATTTAAATACATTCATGAAAATAATTTCATCTCTTCTGAAATTATTTCTTAATACTAGCTTCACTACAGACTTCATTGCAACAATATGAAGAAAACAACACCAAAATCAAGCAATTGCTTATGAAAACCAAGAAAGAACTGGCAGATTCAAAGCAAGCAGTATGTTAATTCCTCAGTTTCTCATTTTAATACTTACTTATAATATATTTATGAATAACTTCTGTTTAAAATTTAACCAAGATTCTTATTCTGTAGGAAACTGATCACTTAATGCTTCAAGCATCTTTAAAGAGTGAGCTAGAGGCAAGCCAGCAGCAAGTAGAAGTCTATAAAGTAAGAATCGTTTTACTTTTTAAGATTTAGAAAAAATTTTCCATGTAGAAGTAAAATACCATTTAGGGATTTTGCTAAATATTATTGTATATCAATCATACACATAGTTGGCCCTTCATAGCTGCGGGTTTTGCATCCTCAGATTCAGCCAACCATCTGCAGATGTGAAGAGCCAACTGTATGCATTGTTCTGTGCCATTTTATATTAGGGGCTTGAGCATCCACGGATTTTGTAACACTGGGTTTCGGGAACCAATCCTCGACAGATACTGGGGTAGGGGGGTCAGTTGAATCCCCCCGCCCCCGAATATAGTTCCATTGAACTATAACATGTAGTCTGGAATTCTTTTTCATGATTTTTTTTAAGGAAACCTAATTTATTTAAAAAAATGTTTCAATAATAAATAATTCTGATATTTATGTCACTTAATTATTTGAAACTCATGTCTCTAAACTCAAGTTTATGTTTAAAGAAAGTCTGTTTAACAAGTGAAAATCATATTTGCTATAGCTTAATTAAAAGATTTTTCCTCCAGATTCAGCTGGCTGAAATGACATCTGAGAAACACAACGCTCACGAACACCTGAAGGCCTCTGTAGACCAGCACCAGCGCGCCCTGAGCGTATACCAGCAGAAAGTGACAGCCCTTCAGGAAGAGTGCCATGCTGCCAAGGTTTGTTCCTCACCCCGAAGCAGCATGCCAGAGACGCTGTTACCCACTGGGTAGCACTTCACTTGAGGGCTGTGGTCTGGCTTTTTAGTGTTTGCTGTCATTTAAGAACACTTACAAAATGAATACCAGATTCAGCTCATCTGACCCTAACCCCAACCCCATCACAACCCTGTCACATGAATAACTCTTTCTTTGCCAAGAGGAAAGACATGCATACATGTTGTTTTCACTCCAACTTTGTTTTACAATTTCCATGTGTAAGAAAGTTACTGTTTTAAAGTTTTTATTAGAGAAGTGTTACAGTTCTTCCTGAGGGCTAAATAATTATAAAATACT